AAAAAAAAAAAAAAAAAAAAAAAAAAAAAAAAAAAGGTTATTACGTTAAAAACCATAAACAAAAAGGTCTTTAGAAACAAATCCTTCATTTTGTATATGATAAAACAGACATTTGGAAACGGGATGGGACTGTTCAAGGGCACGATGCTAGCTGGACGGCAGACGACACAGCAAATGCTGGCTTCCTGCTCCCAGGTCCATTCTCTCACACCCAGCTACCCACGCAGGGCCAGATGGGAGGATACTATTAGTAAGCATACTACAGTCAACAATACCACGTCTTATAGATACACTATCTCAGAAGAAATCAAGTAATTCTTTAAACACCACTGGCTCATAAGATACACAAATATTTTCTTTCTTATTAAAGGTACCTAAAAATACATATTCTCTTAGATACATTTTAGAACTTGCTTCATTGCCAGCAGGCACAATCAACAACCTGTCAATCATCTGAAAGACATGAGTGCTTGATCCTACTGCAATCAATCAAAGAAGGGCATTCACTTGACCTGCAAGGGACAGAGGATGTCTGGGAGACAGAAAGCTCCAAAGAGACACTTAAACACGTTTCTCTAGCTCACAATGCAAAGTAAATTAGTTGAGTGGATCTTTCAGTAACTGCTGAAGCTGTTTAGAAATTTTAAGCAAAACCACTTTTTAAAGTTTATTCTCTTGTTTATTCACACTAAAGAACAGCAAGTGCAAAAACCAACAGAGATGATGTTTTAGTGAAAAGGATTTCTATAGTAAGTAATTAAGTGAGAAAGCTGAAAAAGAATGCCTTATTTTGGTATTGGTTAGGATAGACAGAAATCCAAAATTTCTTTTTAATTTTTTTCAAAATGATTAGAAAACTGAAAGTATACAAATAAGAATCCAAGAATCTTTACTCTCCTCCCCCCTTTGACTTCTGAAATACAGTGCAACTCTCTACCATCTGTTATTTTAAAGCAGAAACAGTAATGAACATATGGGCTTTCTCTCTCAAGCAGCTGTAGTGTAGTTAAAGTTATAATAATTGTCTTCCTGTAAGATAAATTTACATTAAAAACCTGGCCAGTTAAAAACAAATGGCTCAGCCTCAGAGCCTTCCAGAATAAAATTAAGAAATTCAGAATCATTTATGACATATTACATCAGAGATTTAGAGGAAATCCTCGAAATCCTGTTTTTATGTTTAAGGTTAAATAAAGATAATTCATGATGCCCAAATCAGCTTGTACAACCGAAGAGTTGACAACTCATGTCTTCCTTGTTGACCAAGATAGTAAGAGCATCAAAGGGTTCAGATACACATACATAAAACCAGTATACTAGTTCTAAGAACCAGTAACTAAGTTCGTGAAAGCTGGTAATTTAAATTCACTACCTCTGTGAGTCACTGAACTCCTATCTAAAGGCTTGTTTATTCATGAAAAAAATCACAATACATGTGGCACACAAACTTCCATCTCAGCTACATATCATTTATAATGAGTCTGATCAAAATGAAAGGAATTCACAACATATTCTGATTCACATACTATGAAAAACAGGAATTCTACTTACCTTTATCTGGGTGATTCAAAATCATGATTCTCCTGTGAGCTGTTCTAATCTTGGCTTTGCCAGCAGATGGGCTGTAAAAAGAAATTAAAGTGCTTATAATAAATAGCGCCAAGTGCAGATTATAAATTAATGGCTTATACGGGTTTCAAGAAATTAAAAACTAATGAGAATTTCACCATCTTGTGGACAAATATAAAATTACAGCTTTCCATTCAATTCCCCTAACCATCAAATAAGTCATTGATTTAATTCTGCATGTGCTTTTCTTCAGTCCTTTGTAATGGCAGTCCTTATTCTCAATCAATTCAAAAAATAAAACACAATATATAGGTTAAGGGAGTCATACTCTGCAGACTATACTACTGTACATTTGAAAACTTATGCTTCTAAGTTATTTGGCGGCAAGGCTATATATGTAACTGAGAAATATTTGGATGCCAGAGCTAGACTGCTAGATTTTAATTCTAGCACTATCTTATAAGACTGGGTAAACTTGGTCAAATTTTTAACTTCCTAGTGCTTCAGTTTCCTCATTATAAAATAGGGCTAGTAACAACATATTCCTCATAGAGCAAATGTAAGGATTAGATGAGTTAATGCCTACAAAGTGCTAGCACAGTGCCTGGCAAGTACCAAGTGCTCCACAATAGTTACCTTTTATTATTATGTTTACCAGGGATCTAAAAATCCCTTATACTCATAGTTTATTTAACTTTATGAGAAAAGCTTGGCTGTTAGAGCTATGCTGTAAATAAAAATTAAAGAAGAAAGTTAAACAAACCTAAAATTATTTTGGTAAAACCTAATTTATTCAGTATTGGAAATGTTTCTCATTAGTACATTTTCCAGGCAAGGAAAAAAAAATTAACGCTAACAACAAAATCCTACCTATTGCTGTGCTATCTTATCTAAGCTACCTAACTTTTCTGGGCCTCAAATAAGGATAATAATAGCTGACTTGAAGTACAGTGTAGTTGTTGTGAAATTCAAAATGACTTAATTTGTATGGATAAACCACACTGCAGTCATAAAATATACATATTTTTAGAGTTATTCAGACATAGGTTCAAAATCTTGATTCCACCACTCTTTAACTATACAACTTTGTCTTACTTAAACTCTCTGAGTTATAAATTTTCTCTTTGTGCAATGTGCATAATAAAACCTACCTCCTAGGATTATTTTAAAGATAAATTAAATAATATAAGTAAAATGATTAGCATGACCTAGCACACAGTTAGTGTGCAAACAGTAGTTATTACAGATATAAAGGATGCTTATGAAAATGTATTAAATATTTGCTACTTTTAAAAAATGGAGTATGCATAACCTAATTTAACACTTCTTGAATGACTCAGAAGCATTATTACTAATATAAGTGAAATACAAAGAAACCCTCAAGATGTGCAGAGGTTTATTTGCCCTTCTACTAAATGGACCTAGCATGCTATCTACTTAAGTTCTTCTGTCCATTTTGAATAATGCCTCATTGGATTTCAATCCTTGATTCCGTTAGTGTTTCGATCTCTAGCAGTCCCTTACCGGTTACCTGCTACTTCTAATCTCCTGCAGGTAAGTAACACATCACCAAGAATGATAAAAGTGCTATTAACTGCTGAATAAGCACATAAAATATTCTTCCGTGAATAAAATAAGTAAGCCTTTTTATATAAAGACTTAGGGTATTCCTTTTGGTATAGAAGTCTTTTGGGAGACCATTTCGAACTTACTTTTTGGCTTGTAGGTACCTCCCGGATAGACAATCAGACATTGTCTGATTAGAAAGACTACTGAATTTGAGAAAGTAACTATTCAAAATTGTACCAGGGCTTCGAATACTACATTATTTAACTACCTATTAAGAAATGGAAAACACATTTCTTTGAAAAATTCTAATAAGATTTAGTTTCCTATGGTTAATATACATTTATTATCCCCTTTTCTGGTGCTCTATAGCACTTCTTTCCTTTATTAGTTATGTTTTCTAGTTGTTCTGTATATATTTCTCATGTCTCCTTAGATTCTAAATTTCTTAAAGGCAGAAGCTATAATTTGCATCTTAAAATAGTATCTAGGACCGTATATGCAATAGGTGTTTAATGCATTTTATACCACCCTCCAAAAGGAAATGACTGTAAAAAGGTAAACTCTTTGAAAGAACAAAGGCTCTATATTAACAAACACTATCATTATAAAGAATATGGTAATACAAAAAAATTTTAAGTTTAAAAAGGGGAAAGTTTAAAAACCTTATTCCATAAAGCTAATCAAATATGGCCCACTAGATGACAATATAAATTCGGTAAAATCCAAATTTTTGTTGTACATTTTTTTGAGAATATATGGTAAGTGGAATCTTCTTCTGAATATTAATTTTAATTGGGCACATAAGACAAAGTTTGATAATCACTTCTGTCAAAATTATCCTTGAAAATCAATTACATTGGCTATAAAAAAATAGTACACATGATTTTGCATATAAAACTCCATGAAGTATTATGCTCAGCCAACCACTTAACTAGATTAAAGTAAAAATGCAAGAAAGAAAAGTTCATATGCACAAGTAGGGGCATTAAAAACATTCTGCCTTTAAGATAATAATCATCAGACTCCTATTGGTGAACTTTCTGGATGAAAGAAGTATTCTTGTTTGCTTGCAGGTTTATTCCCTTTTTGTTATTGCTGTATTAGTTTCTAGAACTTTAGCTACATTTTAATACATTTGTTTGTTGCTGTAAAGATTGAACAAGATGGGAGAATCCCAGTTTTTAAACTCAGTATAAAAATTAAATGTAACTGTGAAAAATACCTCCAATATATATAATTTCACAATGAAACTGAAAATATAACTTTAGGGCTGACTGGTTAGCTCACTTGGTTAGAGCATGGTATTGGTAACACCAAGGTAAAGGGTTTGGATCCCTGTACCGGCCAGCCACAAAAAAAAAAAAAAGTAATTTAAAATATCATGTTACTTAGATCAGGGATTTCAAACTGTGCTCCCTGGAGTGCATTTGCCTGGCAGTGGTTGAGTGGGGTGTGTGGAACTGAGTGGTGTCCCCTAACCCTGTGGCAAATCGAGCAGTTTTCAATTTCCCTGTGGCAAATTAAAAGTTTTGGTTTCATCTTTTTTTACTGTTGGGATTTTGAATAACATTTGGTTTTTAAAAGTTCCACAGAAGTTTTTTAGAAAGTTTGAAAATCACAAATGTGAATCATTTCAGACAATATCAGGTTTAACAATAGTTTTCCTGGGCAGCTCAGTAAAATATTTTAGGGTTTTTGTTACAGACAAGAGTTATAATGCAAAAAATTAATTTTTTGTAAGGAAAAACATAGAGCAAAGATTCAAATATACATCTTAGCAAACAATCACCATTAAATGCAAGATGTAAGAATATGTAGAATCTTCCAGTAGCACACAGAGTATTTTTCTTTAACAGGGTATCAACAAGATCAACTCCATTTTGCCTTTTCCTTCTTGTTATATAGTGTACATAGTTTAAGACTTAATGATCATAGAAAATGAAACCATAGCAATGTGGTGGAAGTATCTTGTCATAATCAATACTGCTTGACTGAAAGAGTTAGAGGAAAGCAGATAAGTTTTACCTTTCCATTTATGTGTTAGGGGCGTTACTTAGCTTCTGTATTCGTGATAAAGAGGAGGAGAAAGAAGCGAACATTAATTCAGTACCTGTTATTTGATAGGCACTTTACATAAAAGGTATCATCTATCATTCTTATATTATTCCAACAAGATAGAATATTATTAATCCCAATTCAAAAATGTAGAAACTGAAGTGCAGAAAAGCCAAAAAATAATTTGACCAAGACCACACAATGCAATGCCTAAGTGGCATACTCAGGATAAGGTTCTGCTTTGCTTAGCTGACATTTATTGTGTAGTTACTGAATGCCATGTTTTGTGTTAAGAATTTAATGTGCATTATACAATCTTCATAGCAACCCAATGCAGTAGAAACTAGTGTTATTTCTATTTTACAGATGATGAAACTGAGGTGGTAGTGGTAAAATTGGTATTCATACACAGATCCACTTCATTCATACTGAGAGTCTGTGCTCTTAACCAGTGCATTTTCCTTGAGAATTTTACACAACTTCCAGTTCAATGGGATAAAACTTTATAACCATGTATCTTAAGAGAACTCAAAAATACAGTCAACTCCTAATTATCTGTCATAACAACAGAAGTGTCTTGGATGTTGTTATATGATATCCTCAAAATCTTTTGTGTTTGGTTTTATAAGGTATTTATACTCACATTTCAAGACAATGAATGAAATGTAGGGGAGGCCATTATAAGTTCAAGAAAAATACAATGTCATTCTGAGTAATATCAAACAAGGAATAGTTAGCAATATAGCTAACTAACTTCCTTAACTAGTTCCCCTGCTTAAAATCATTTCCTATTCCTATTCTCTAAAAAGGAGAGATCTCATTTTTTCTTAAATTTAAATAAAGCAACAAGCTAAATTAAGCCCCCTACCCTTTCTTGTTTTTCTTGCTAGGTCATAAGAAATAATAAAATGCTTTGGCTTAAAAAAAATCTGTTTATCTGTAAGAGATAAAAACATTTTGGTCAAAATGAATTAATTAATTTAAAAAATAAATTTGTCAGTATATGACTTTTATTATCTATTCTGCTTAATTATGTTGATTAAATCACCAGAAGATTTGTTGCAGATAACATATTGTAACCAACCCCCACAAAAATTAGCGAGTGGGCTCTAAGGGAACATAAGGTAAACAGATGAATACAGTTGCTGGTAAATCTGTAGTAGGGAAAAACACTCCTAACATTAAGTGTTAAATGATACCACACAACAATCACACAATATCACTAACTTTGTCCTATACGCTTCAAAGTTAGACCATAAATGGACACTAAGGGACACAAGTACAATAAAATGCTAGATGTCAAATTGTGAAAGTAGAAAAGAATTGTGAAATAGATCCTGCATTATCATGAAAAGTATGATACAAATCAAATTATAAAACAGTCCAGAGAATTCGGTGTCACAATAAAGGATATTTTGATTGACTGATTTCAAACTTTAATATTCTTTTTTTTTTTTTTTAAAGATGACCGGTAAGGGGATCTTAACCCTTGACTTGGTGTTGTCAGCACCACGCTCAGCCAGTGAGCTAACCGGCCATCCCTATATAGGATCCGAACCCATGGCCTTGGTGTTATCAGCACCACACTCTCCCGAGTGAGCCACAGGCCGGCCCCAAACTTTAATATTCAAATATAATAGCAACTTGTTAAAGAATAAAGACAGATCACAAGTTTGCCTGAGTTTTTTTTAGGGGAAGTGGGACACTCTTTTAGATTTGAATCTTAAAATGTAAAAATGTGATTTTTCTCCTCTGCCTCCTACTATAATTGTAAACATAAGAAGGACCTTACTGTAACATTTTCTCCTATTGGAAGACAAGCTTAGCCACATAACAAAATAATACTTATGCAGCACACCTACCTTACACCTAAAATAAGACTAGCTTCTCGTTTACTCATTTTCGTTTCAAATCCTCCTTTATAGTAGGATGAAAGGGTCTGTACAGTAAAGAAAGAGAAAGAAATAATTAGTTCCATGCATAAGGTTCCATGATCTCAATCCCATCACACAGCTACAGTAATAGTAAAGCATTTTACTAGAAGTCAACTTGAAATTGTGGTGGGTAAAGCACCAATGACCCTTTTCAAAACTCTGACAGGCGAACATTTAAAAAATATCAACAACTGTTTTCACTTTATAAAATATATTAGTTTTTCTATACTGAGCTATAAATGAAGGAACAAAAGAGATAAGTAGAAGCAAAATGCTTTAACTTTTTCAAAGCTCTGCAGTACTTTTCTCATTGGATAACCTTGACCAAATCATTTAAGGTTGACACAGTAGATACCAGCCATCTAGACTGGCCAACAAAGAAAGAAGGGAAAGGACTGACAAAGTGGGGAGTGTGTCACTATAGCAGACAGGCAAGCCAAGAGAGGCTGGGAAACTGGACTGAAAGGTCAATGTGATTACTTGGCTTCTGGTCAAGATGGCATAATAGATGGTCCCCAGCATCACTCTCTCCCACAAATCAACCAACTTACAACTATTAAAAAGCAATGACAGCCAAACTGGGGCCGCTAGTGCTCAAGGGAAGAGGAAGAGAGACCTACGGAGTGCATAAAGGCAGGAGAAGCCACGATGAGAGAAAGAAAGGATCACTCCACCATTTCAAATCCCAGCCGCTTCAAGTCTGGAGCTGGTGAGCACATGGAGCAAGAGTTAGCAAAAGCCACAGCTGTGCCCTTCGGATGGAGACGCTTGAAGGCGGCAGGGGTGAAGAGGGCTTTGGTGGCCCTCAGGGCAGCAAGACCACTAAGAGGGTTCCTGTGGACCCACAGAGGAGCAAGGAGCCACAGACAACTGAAATAAGGAGCCACTCAGAGGCAGGTGAGTCATCACAAGGGACTGTAGCATGGCCCATCCCATGGGAAGTGTTTGAAGTGCAGGTGGTGGGGAGACAGGTCTATCAGGGGAACATTGGGGCACAGCATGGACACATGATCTGCCATCCAATCAGCACAGGCCCACTCAGTGGTATTGGTCAGGAATACAGAACTGTAGGAGGTGCAGTTGGCTGAAAAGACTGAGGCCCAGACCAGAGTTTCCACACAACCCAGGTGTACCAGACCTCAGAAGACCCGAAAATACGTACAAGGTCAACAATTAAAACCTAAGCTACACAAAACACCCTCCCAAGAGAATCAGCAGCAAAGCAGCAATTTAGCTCTACAGGGCTCAAGTGCTGGTCTACACAGGAAGTTCCCCCATTTTAGAAGTAAGCAAAGGACAACAAATTAGTTCTGGTGCAGAGTTTAAGTGGTAGGAACAGCTAATAATCCAACACAGGACTGAAAAACAAAATACCCACAGATCAAAAACAAAGTCTGATATTAACTAGCAAAGGTCTAACACCCCCAAAGAACACCTATGAAACCTAGAAGGACAGGAAGCCCCCTGGACTCCCAAGCCAGGATGGTGGAGGGCCACAGGCCTCAGCCACACCCCCCAACGACTATACCCAGACCAGCGATGACCTCCAGGCCACCACAGGAAGTGACCCAAGCTCTCAAGCTGGGGCAATAGGGAGCCGAGGACTTCAGCCACATACCCCTGACATCCACAACCAGCCCAGTGACGACCACTGAGCTGCTGCAGGAAGTGACCCAAGATCCTGTAAAGTGGCGGGCAAAGGGCTTTGTCCACAGCCCCCGACACCCACAACCAGCCCAGCAATGACCACCCAGCAGCAGCTAGAAACACTTTGGGCTCTCAAGCCGGGGTGGTAGGGGCCAAGGGCTTCAGCCACCCCCCTCCCCTGACATCTGCAACCAGCCCAGCAAGGACAGAACCACCACTGGAAGCCCTCTGGTCTCCCCTTCAGGAATGAGGGAGCTGCCACAGGCCTCAACCATACCCTCCTTCCTCCTCCCACCCTATTTCCTTCCACCTTCTCCGCTCCCTCTCTCCCCCAACTGCTCTGCAACAACTTATTAGAATGTAAAAAATAATAATATTAATAAATAAACTTGGGCCGGCCCGTGGCTCACTCGGTAGAGTGCGGTGCTGATAACACCAAGGCCATGGGTTCGGATCCCATATAGGGATGGCCGGTTTGCTCACTGGCTGAGCGTGGTGCTGACAGCACCAAGCCAAGGGTTGAGATCCCCTTACCGGTCATCTTTTAAAAAAATAAATAAATAAATAAATAAATAAATAAACTTAAAAAAAAACAGAAAGGGCAAGGTGGCTGGAGAGGCAATGTGGCTGGAGGACGGGAGGATTAGAGAGGTAATCTAGGCCAGATTGTGAACAGCCTTGTAAGCAATGGAAAGAATTTAGGATTTTATTCTAAGTGGGAAGAGAAGCCGGAGCACTAGAGTAACACAATTGTACTTTGTTTTGAAAGGATTATTCTGACTACTGTGTGGAGAATAGAAAGAAGGTGCAAGGGTGGAAGCAGGAGACCAGTTAAGAGAACATAACAATAACTGTCCAGGCAAGAGATGATGATGGTATAAACCATGATGGTCGCAGAGGACATAGTATAAAGTGGTCAGACTCTGGATATATTTTGAAAGCAGAACCATCATTTGCTCAGTGGACTGAACATGAGATATGAGAAAAAGAGAGGAATTAAGTATGATGTAGAGGACACAGTTATGCGCTGCCCAGTCCCTCAGGAGTGAAGGACTTACTCCTCAGAAATGGGGGCTTACTGTGAGCAGATGGTGCTCAGCTCTCAAGACTCTTTAGGAATTGCCTTGCCTGAAGAAAGTCAAGCTCGTGTCTCCTTCCCAGGGCAGCCCATATCTAATGACTGGTTGACATGGGGTATAAACATTGTAGTTTATACTCAACTGGTTAAGTATCTGCAAATATTCTAAAATCCAAAAAAATTCAAAATCTAAAACACTCTGGTCCCAAGCATTTCAAATAAGGGTTACTCAACCTATATTCCCAGTTTCAAATAATTTACAATTCAATAAGAAAACAAAACAAATACCCCTTCACCCTCCACACAAGTTTTGATGGGAGGAAGGGAATCGAATTGGTTAAATATACATATTAACCTGGACAAATTTTATATCTCTCTAAACATATGTAGAATATGCACGTATATAGAGAGATGGAGAGATAGGGATGGAGACAGAGACAGAGATGGAGATGGAGATGAAAAGGAATAGGAGACTTAACAGAAGAAGAGGGAAGAAGGACTGGTTTAAAGCTTCCTCTCAGGAAACCAAAATTTTTACTCAATACATACCTTACTACCTAAATGAAAGCTGATTAGTTGGTTTAGTTAAGGCAAAACAGAAGTATCATTAACTTGATCCACAGTAGTCATTTCTACAGGAGCATAATTTGTTCTTATTTTGTTTTAAAATCATGCTTGAGTCTAATGAATAGAGTAATTCTTTACTGAGGAAAAAGTATTTCTATGAGTCTTTATTTACCTTAGGGAGCTCTAAAATTTTGAGTCAGCATAATAAAGAAGAAAAACTGGTGATGTCTCACGAACAGTCATTTCCACTATAGTCACAAAGCTCATTAACCTTAAAAGCAGGTATTGGTATCCAAGCAATTTTTTTACTTTCAGTTCTGCCCAGATGGAAATGGAGTCTCAGAAAAGGCTACTTAAAAATCTAGTGTCTGGAAGAAGTTCATACCCTAGAAAACTGACTTTATTATATTAGTAACTCAATCTGTACATAAATGGTCATCACAACCCTTCTAAAAAAACTAGATCATTTTGAGGGTAGAAATTTAATATCTAGGGGTTGTATACAGAGCAGTAGAACAAAGAGAAAAAAAATTGCTATGTCACTCAACTACTAGAATATTTGCACATTTCTTCAGAGAAAATCATGCCTTCTAAACTTGCATGAAATTTAGGTTTTGCATTACACGATTTTAAATAGAAGAAACTTATCACAGTATTTTAATCTATTGTTATGTTTAAATTAATATGTGTCATTAGCAAGCACAAAATTGTAAATCTGTACCCCTCACCCCTCATAAAGTGTAACTAAAAGGCCCTTTTAAGCTTGAAAATATGCCAATATCGCATTACATTAGGATATACACACACGAGGCACTGCAGACCATTTTCTGACATCAGTGGGTCAAAGGAAATGTTTAGATCCATAAATAAGCTTACTATAAAGAATAACTATATCATCAAATAGAAGAAGTAGATGGTTATATTTTTCTAATAGGATTTCCAAGAACAGAAACAGTGGTATTCCACTAGTTTCATGATGCTATCTATTCGAAACACACCCTGGACCTTTTCCATTCATAATGTATATATAAACAACAGATATAAAGATCATTTTCCTTTTAAAATTAGCATTAAACACTGTAGTGCCATGTTATCAGATGAGATATGAAATAACCAAGTTAAACCAGGGTATTCATTAGCTAATTCATTCAGTCAATAGTTTGAAACATAAAAGTCCTCCAGTCAACCAGAGAGAACTATATCATTCTATAATCTTAAAAGAAGAAATACATTTACTATAAATGACAAACTTCTATTATTTACAATAATCTATTTGATTTATAGAGCCATAGAAGGATGATTTTAATTAGTACATATTTCCATGAATTTTGCTTCACCATAAAATAGAAGTCTCATTTTTAAAAATTCAAATAAATCAACAAATTTATATTCAAATAAATCAACGAATTTACAAATAAAAACTTAAAAGCCTCAAATGAAGATGAATGACTCAGGTTTTCTCCCTAGGAAGAAAATTAAGGGTTATTAGACACTAGCTGAGTCAATAATATACATCAATACATTAAAAAGCAAGCAAAAGGACACTGGTTCGAAAGAACAGACTTTTGCTTTTCAATGTGCCTTTGAAATGAGAAAAGAGATTTTAAATAAGAAAAAATCTATAATAGGCCTAGAAAACAAGACAAGGAACAAGCAGCAAACCAGAAAATTTAGAGAAATGTTAGAAGATTGAAAACAGGTAAGATTTCATGTACAGAAAAAAAAATCACAACAGTCCCAAACACCAGGGGAAAGAAGAAACCCTTCTCAGGAAGGCAAGAAGAAAAGACTAAATTTAAACTTAAATACAAAAATAGCATTAAATCAGAACAGCAGAGACAGACCATCCCTACTTCACTAATATAGAGCACAAGGGACCTTGCACCCTTATGCATATGTCTGGGATGCATCTTACTCTGGGTGGTAGTCTCCAAAAGAAGCAAAGGGAAGAACCAGAAGATCTCATTTCAGAACCCAGAAGGCCAGGGACAGGGACATGTATGCCAAGGAGTAAAATATACATAATGTTCGACCTCTCCTGGACTCCAGAGGTCCCAAGCCTCTGATCTCCTTGATTTGGAAGACATGCCAGTTGACAAACTCACCTGTGTATACACAGCCCACTGTCAACCCTCCCATTCTATTAAGCCATTGAAGCAAGTCTACCATCCTGCTGAAGAAAGCTGACAGCACTGCTTATATTAATCACTTTAGTTTTTGAAAATATAAACCAACAGCCAAGGATCATCAGGCATTTGAACAAACCCAGTATCATAGGGGTAAGAAAAAAAAAAAAAGAAGAACCAAGATGAACAAATAACAATTGGCTTTGGAGGAAGGAGATAAATAATGAAGCAGAAGAGAATTTGGCAAATTAGTGTCTTTAGAGATATTCAAAAGAATATAGCATCCATAAAAAAATGGGTTGCTATAGAACATTAACATCGAAGAATTCTTAAAAATTAAAAAATTACTGATGTAAAATATTCCAAGAATGAACTAAATAACATAGGCACTGCTAAAGCCCAACCTGGTGACCTGTAAAATAAGCTTTGGAAATACTGTAGAACGTAAAGCTAAAAAGATAAAGAGATGGAAAATAAGAGATAAAGAAAGAGACACAGAGGATACATTCATAAGTCCAACATCTTCTAATAGGAGCTCCAGGTGCAGAGAAGAAAGACAATGAAGGGAAAAGGTAATTAAAGAAAAAATGTAAGAAAGTCTTACAGATCAAAAGATAATTTTCAAATAAGTTAAGGCTCACTAAGAATTTTTGCGAAATTTCAGCTCGATAATAAAGAGAAAATTCTAAAACTTCCAGAGTTTAAAAAACAAACATCACCAAAAACTAAACACCAAAAATAAACAACAAAGGAAAACCAAAACAAGTTGCATGAAATTTAGGTTATGGAATAATAATAATAATAACATCAGAAAAGCCAGCTATGAGGCGAGGGAATGCAGGAATAGTCTCAGCAGAGATTTCTGTCCTCCTCTAATGCTGGCTTCACTAGATTTCAAGGCGCTAGCAGCTAACTGATAATTAACAGTGAGAACAAAAGAAACAAACTGTTTAACAGAGAAGAACGTAAAACATTTACCATCTAAGCACTCTACATGAAAAATTTACTCTAGGCAGTATTCCAGCAAAATGAAAAAATATATATAAGAGAAAGACGAGAATTAGGAACAAGATGTTAAAGCTTTGAGGAAGCAAATAAAGGTTTAAATATTATGAAAAGAGAACTCACTGGAACTAGAGCCTTAGACATTCTCCTTTGAATGATAGAGATTTAGTGACACAAGATTACAGTTCCTATTTTCTTAGTATCCTTATTTGATTCAATAATTAATAATATTTATAAAATCAAAACTCTATAAATGCTGTGTTTATGAAGCTTGACACTTGTGATTCATTAGTGCCAAGAGAAAGTATGCAGATATTTCATTTCTCAGTTTCCCTGGAGTGATTTTTTTTTTTTTTTTGATGGCTGGCGAGTTTGGGGATCCAAACCCTTGACCTTGGTGTTAACACAGAGCTCTAACCAATTGAATTAGCTGGCCAACCCCCTCCCTGGAGTGATTAATATTTAAGGAATTGTTCTAAAAAATTTGTATAGCTGAGGTAGAATTATAATGATAATGATGATGATGATGGTGAAGATATTCTAAGATGCTTTATTGCAAACTACAAAAGTAGTACTTTGTGAAAAAGAAGAATGAGCCAAATTCATCAAAAGCCACATTTCTTACCTTGAGTCCCACAAAGGAGAGGGGAATTGGGGTGGGGGTGAGCACACATCATTTCCCTCTTCTTAAGAAATGCAGGTACCAGGCTCAGTACACCCATTACAATCTCTTGAACTACACTACCTTTTCTGTGAGCCTTTTACTGAGCAGTGAAAATTTTCCCATTTTCATACTCTCTCTTCTTTTATGATGTTAAATAATGTAGTTCCACACAGCTTGGAAGATTTCTATTTATGGTGTACATATACCTACTGAAGATCACCATGACAGAAATGATTTCTGAAATTCTCTCTCCATTTATTATTTATAAACACAAACAATGTTTACTTAAAACACGAAGTCACTGTGTGCATTACTATCACTCTATTTCAAGCCACCATTATCTATCACCTGGACTATCACAAAACTCTCTTAACTGGTTTCACAGCTTCTACTCAGGCTCACTAGTCTACACTCTATGCAGCAGGCACAGTGATATCCTAAAATGCAAATCACATTGCCCCCTGCTCGAAATCTTCCAAAGGCTTTCTATTACACTGAAAGTCAAATATGAAGATTTTTTCATAGTCTGTTAGGCCCTAAGGGATCTTAACCCAAGCTACCAATAGTCCCTTCATGGACTCTGCCAGAGTTACTCTTGCTGTGAAGCTCATTTCCACTTCAGAACCTCTGCAGTGTTCCTACCTCCTAGAAAGTTTTTTCTTCGGATGCTCACATGGTCTGCTCCCTCATCTTCTACCTGACCTGACTAATATAAAGATTTCTTTCTGCTATTATTCTTTAACCTCTTACCCTGATTTGGTTTTCTTAAAAGCACTCAACACTTCTACATATTATATATCTTACTGCATTTGTTTATTGTTTATCTCCATTAAAATGTAAACTCCTAAAGGGCAATACCTTTGTGTAGTCTATGACTATATCTCACTGCCTACAACAATGTCTGGCATGCAGTAGGTGCTCAATGAATACAGTTGGCCCTCCGGATCCATGGGTTCTACATCCATGGATTCATCCAACTGCAGATAAAAAATATTCAGAAACAAAAAAATGGATGGTTACATTTATATTGAACATATACAGACTTTTTTTTCTTTTAATTACTCCCTAAACAATAGAGTATAACAACTATTTCTGTAGTGTTTACATCATATTACATATTATAAGTAATCTAGAGATAATTTAAAGTATAAGGGAGGATTTGTGTAGGTTGTATGTAAATACTATGCCACTTTGTATCAGGGACTTGTGCATCCATAAATTTTGGTATTCGTGGAGGGTGTTGGAACCAATCCCCTGCGGACAGTGAGAGTGTGTAGGTTGTATGTAAATACTATGCCACTTTGTATCAGGGACTTGAGCATCCATAAATTTTGGTATTCGTGGAGGGTGTTGGAACCAATCCCCTGCGGACAGTGAGAGACAACTGTACTTACTGAATGAATGCTGAATTCCTATCAATAGTTTAGCCAAATAAAATATAAATAGGTTGCAGATCCCCATACCAGCCAGCTGCCATAAAAAATTTAAAAAATAACATAAATAGGTTTGTTAGAGCATGGTGCTGGTGACACCAAGGTCCAGGGTTTGATCCCTGTTCCAGCCAGCCACCAAAAAAATATAAAAATAATAAATAGGAAAACAGAAAATAAACATATGCTCCCTCTAATCACAGTCATGCATTTATAGGTCTGCAAAATCACTTGCAGTTCTTCTGAACCTAGGTTTAATTATATGTCAGTATGTTATCCTTTGAAAACGTTGTCATTGTTCATGGCTAACTAAGCCTTACAAGCCTGCAATGTCTTTGCTAAAAACAAGCCATTCATTCTCAAATTGCTACAAGCCACGCTGAGCTATCCCAGATCTGCTTCTATTTCTAGAAGTCAATGCTTATGCTGCAGTGCTTCAGTGAGTTTTCTTTGTATTGTCTTCAGTGGTCACAAACCACTGTTCATACTGTAGCATTTAAGGCATCTACTACCACTCATTCTTCACTTACATTTAGTTCACCAGAATAGCTATAATGTTGGTAGACGAATGTATAAGCCCTACAGGACTGGAATCTTATAATTTTATGTTTGTGATGGCCAGGTGTGGTGGTACGCAGGGACTAGTTTCAAATTTCAAGGTGACAAACTCTTGGGTAAGCTCTACCAGGGCAAGGACCGTGTCTGTTTTGTTAACCAGCTATCTATCCCCACTTGCTGGCAAAGGGACTAGAGTGGTATATGACAGGCATTCACTAAATGTTTATTGAATAAATGAACAATGATTAAACAGAGAATATAAGTTACCTCAAAGTTGACGTAATACTACTAAATGGAATATAATAATTAAATGTCAAAACCAGGAATAAGGTTAGATATAAAAATAACATGACCAAGAAACTTAAACTAAATCAATAAATTAGACAAACTCACCAACGATAGAATGAAGGAGGTAAACTTATACAGATGTTTGAAAATCCAAGACATTCTTTAGATTACTTTGAAATATGGCATATAAACAAAAATCAAAATGAGTTTCCTAACTAAAGCCATGTTTAACTTACAGGAGTTGAAATCTTCTTTGCAGTTCCTGTGATTACTTGTTCTAGAGGTTTCCAGATTTGAAATGCATAGCGACCTAAATAGTGAAAGAAATAAAAGCAACTGTATTTTCTATAATCAAAGTCAATCAATACCTTCAAGGTGCTTCCCACAGTACTTCTGATAATTTACTTTTTTTGTGTATGGCTAGCCAGTGAGGGCATTTGAATCTGTGACCGTGGTGTTATAAGACTGTGCTCTAATCAACTGAGCTAACTGGCCAACCCTTGATAGTTTACTTTATATATATTATTTCAATAAAGATTTCAAAATTTATAGTGATATTTGTTCAAATTTCTAATTCATTGAATAGAGGACAAAATATCATTTTAATATCATTATCAGAGCCATTTATCAAATTCCAGTTCATGATTATAAAATCAGAAATTTTCAATATTTAGGAATATCTTACACTTTGTATGATGTTATAGGTCACAAAAAATAATAACCTAGTGCTTTTTCTACAAACTGTGAAGTCCCTTTATGTATAAAAAATACTTATGATACTAAAATGATTAATTGTACTGCTTTTTACAATGATAATTACTTTGAAATATACAGAAAACAAATACTCTTTATGATCTATATGACAGAGGAGTGCTTTTAATGGTGTTATCTCTAAAGTAAAAAAAGCAATTATGTATGAAATATTTACCAAGGATGTTAATTATCAATTTTTCTCACTGAGAATGGCTACTCTTTCTAAAAACTTACTTTTAGTTCTCTCCTTTCTTAGGAATCCTAATCATTAAAACTCCCCTGAATTTTGACAACTAAGAATCAAAAGCAAAACAGGTCCTAAATTACTTTGAGGGCATCAAAGAATAAAATATTATCTGGTTAATTTACCCGTTGCACCCTCATCAGAATGTGTATCTCCTACTAGTGTCTCTTTCTCCAAAAGTCTTGTTAGAAAACCAGTATATGACACTATGGACTTTAATTCAATTTCTAATTATAAGCTTATTTGCAAATCAAGAATTCCAATGGGAAAGTTCAAGTACCTAGATCTTTTAGGGGAGTTCACCACTGACCAGCTGCCAAAAAAAAAAAGAGAAGAGTTTACCTGCCTAAATATATTGTTATTCCTATGAAAACAACATGTTACAGTGAAAGACAAGATGCTTAAGATGGGAAAATGTGAAGTTGCTAATCTAAGTAGGAGATAAAAAGCTCTTGAGATAAATGAGAACAGAGAAGTAAAATCAAACGAGGCCGATTCCCTAATTTGTCCATATCTCTCACCACAAAGATGTCATCTTCCATTTGACGCCATAATAGTACAAAACGTAGCTTTTAAATTACTTCAAAATTCTTCAAAACCATCATAATCAGGCACAGTGACTGACTTCCTGTCTCAGTAAAAAAGAAGTTCAGGGCTTGCATAAGCGACATCTAGAGGTCACTTTAACCACTAGAAGACCTAGTTCCAACATGTCTAAATGTACTTTCTCTTAAATTCTATTATTCAGTTGAA